ACTGGAAGTTGTTAAAAATTAAATGGAACACATGAACATCAATATACAAGACATTAGTGAGATGAGATGGACCAATTTTGGCCACTTTCATTCAGATTCTGACTATACTGCAAATGAAAAACAGAAAAAGAATAGTGTTTCATTCATAGCCAGTCAATTTCAAGTTCTTCCCTGAAATACTATATTGTGAGTGATAATAATCCATACTCATACAAGGAAAATCCGTTAACATCACTATTATTCAAATATACGCTCCTACATTTGGAGCCCACTTGGTGAGAACATCCAGGGCAGCATATGTTTGTTGAAATATGTCAGTCAGTATGCCATCAATTTCTGAGGCCATGTTTTTTGCCAATTTTTTCAAAGCAGCTTGAACTTCTTCCTTCATCACCACAGGTTCTTGCTTATATGTTGTTTCATGAAATTCTTCTGTGTCCACCAATTCCTTTTGGTACAATGACTCTATATACTCTTTCCATCTTCTTTTAATGCTTTCTAGATCATTTAATATTCTGCCCAAAGCATCCTTAGTATTGCAAGTCAAGGCTTGAATTTGTTCTTCAGTTCCTTCAGTTTAAGAAATGCTGAGAAAGTTTGGCCCTTTTGATTCTCTCACTCCAGCTCCTTGCACATTCCATTGTACTTAAAAAAATAAAAACAACTCTAAAAAAAAAACTACCACAAACCCAAAAAAGTATCAATATAATTTTCCCCCTGATATTTTAAGTATTTCACTAGCAATATTGAGAGAAAACAACAGAATAAAATCAGAATTTTGGCCAGAGCACAAATCTAATTACACTGTATTATTAAATAATGTCCCCAGAATTCTTATATTATCCTGAACTCCATGCCTTATTCTAGATCTCAACACTAATCATATAGCTAGTTTATACCAGAATAGCTATACAAATTCTTTGGAGACAATATCCATTCTGACTTAATAATTTGTCTTCCATTCTGAATATCATTATAACCTATACTATTTATTCTGTGTTTTTCTTGTAAGAATGTTTTTTAAGACAAAAGAAACAGACATTCAACTAAAACATGGGAATTGAGATATATTAGAATAAACACATTTATATCACAAAAAATCTTCATAAGAAACATATATAAGCATACACAAGTCACATAAATAAAATATAATAATTGCATGCACAACACATTGTGGCTACCACTGAAAAGAATGGGCATACGAGAACACTTGACTGTGCTCATGAGAAACCTAGACTTGGACCAGGAAGTAGTCCTCAGAACACAGTAAGGAAACACTGCACAGTTCAAAATAGGCAAAAGAGTGCATCAGGGATGCATATTGTTTCCATACCTTTTCAATTTATATGCAGAACAGATAATTTAGGAGGCTGAGCTTTATGAGGAGGAATGTGGCATCAGGATTGGAGGAAGAATCATAACAACCTATGCTATGCAAGTAACACAATCTTGCTCGCTAAAACTGAGGAGGACCTGAAGCATATGCTGCAGAAGGTCAAGGACTGTAATATTCAATATGGATTGAAGCTCAATATAAAGAAAACAAAAATTCTCACTACTGGACCAATTGACAGCACCATGATGGATGGAGAAGAAGTTCAGGTTTTTAATAATTTCAGGTTGCTGTAGTCCACAATCAACACTCGTGGACACCAACAGTCATGAAATTGAAAAAAAAAATTGCACTGGGAAAATATGCTGTCAGGGACTTCTCCAGATTGATGAAGTGCAAAGATGTCAGTCTAGAGAATAAGATGCACCTGATCCAGGCCATGCTGCTCTCAATTACTTGCTATGCATCAGAGTGCTAGGGCAATGACTAAGGATGACAGAAGAAGAATTGATGCCTTTATGTTGTGGTGTTGAGGAAGAGTGTTGAACATACCATGGACTGTAAAGAGAACAAACAAGTTTGACCTGAAGAAGGTAAACCCAAGTTGCTCCTTGGAGACAAGGATTTTGAAGCCCTGACTGACATGCTTTGGGCATGTTACCAGGAGGGACCAGTTCTTGGAGAAGAACATCACGATTGGAAAAACTGAGTGACAGCACAAGAGAGGAAGGCCCTGAAGGAGATGGAATGACACAGCAACTAGGATTAAAAAAGTAGGTGTGTTGAAAACAGTGAGATTGGCTTTGGTAGAACATGGGTTCAGAGCTATTGTACATAGGGTCACTATGAGTTGCAGACAACTTAATTGCACATAACAACAACATACTATAATATCATTAAGTGTTCCCTGGAAGCCGAAATGATGAAGCTTCATCTCACATACTTTGGCCATGTTGCTGGGAGAGTCAATTCCTTCAAGGGGGGCTTCACACTTGGAAAGGTGGAGGGACAATGGAAAGGAAGAAGACCCTCAATCAGGTGGATTGACACAGTGACTGCAGCAATGGGCTTGAGTATGTCAAAAGATAGCGAGGAAGTCACAGAACGGAGTTTGTATCTGCTGTTCATAGGGTCACTATGAGTCATATTTAACTTGACATCACCTAACAACAACAGCAACAACATAATATATATTGAATGGGTTGCCAAGAGAACAAACAAGTTTGTCCTGGAGAGGGTGAAGACAGGCTTCTCCTTGGAGGCAAGGATTCTGAAGCTTCATCTGACATACTTTGATCATACTGAAGGTGGGATCAATCAGTCATTGGAGAAGGATGTCATGCTTTGGGAGGGTGGAGGGACAGCACAGGAGAGGAAGACCTTAATGAGATGGACTGATTCAGTGACTGGGGTACTGGGGGTAGGTGGGTCAGAGACAACAGGGTTGGTACAGGCTAGAGCAGAGTTCAGGGATGTTATAAATAGGGTCACTATGAGTTGCAGGTAATGTGACGGCACATAACAACAAAAACAACAATATATAAAATATATAATATATATATTAACAAAGAAGGGGAGAAAGGATAACATATCTCATTGTGTAATGAGCATATTTATGGTGCATTCTATATATGGATCAAGGAGTTCTGGTATTGCAGTTCTCAGATGGTTGTTGTGTATCATCGAGTCGGATCTGACTCATGGCAGACTACTCCAGTGAGTCTTCAGAGGCATTTTAATTGCACAGGAGATTGCCTATCTTTCTCCCACAGAGTAGCTGGCAAATTTGAACCACATGCCTTCAGATTGGTAGTGCAGCTCCTTACCACTAGGCCACCAGTATAGTCTTCAGGCAGTTAAACTGATAAGCCAAAACCTGCCTCTCTCTGGTGATTCAAATCCATCAGGGGCTCCTCAGGAAATGGGTAATCTCCTCCCATGCAATTTATCCCCCCAGAAACCCAATGGCGGATTAGCTATGAGTTGGTTCCACCCTAACAGCAATGAGTTTTTGAAGTTATGGATAAGGGTTAAATATCAGTGGATAAAGTTGTTAGGAGGGGTTTGTGTTTTTTTTTAAAGCAGGTGGCCAAAATTACTCTTGAGAATCCCTAAATGTTGCCTATGAATTAATGTATAAAGATATTATCATATGCTATAAATATTCAAGTTTGAGGATCATATACCCAAAGGAAGATATGAAAAAAGACGTCTATGTGTAGATATCTACACATTCAAGCCATTTTGCTTTTATGAGGTTTAACTCACAAATCTCTATCAGGAGGATTCTAAAATGTCTCAGCTTTCCTGTAACATGACACGATGGTATTTACTTTCAGTAAATTCTATATTCTTAAAACATGTTAATAGGAATTCAAAGATTAAACGTAATTTATTTGACAGTACTTGTCCATGACTGTGTCCTGGATTTGAACATAAACTTTGGCTCATCAGGTAATATACACACTGTTTTATCACAAGTTGTGGAGAAAACTGATTGCCCTGTGGTCATTTCCCATTGTATCCCACTAAATAGTTATCATTATCCCTCTTATTTGGCAATGTCTCAAGACTCCTCCCTGGCAGTACTTCTTTTTCTTCTTTTTTTTCCTTACTCCCCCCTGCCTTAGCCGACTTTTCTCTTTAAAAAGATTAGGTATTATTATCGTGACAGGAGCCCAGAATGAAAGCTGCACAGTGGAGTGGACTTGGGGGTAGGGATTGTATAGAAATGTAAGAATTTCTGTTTTACCTTTCAAAGAGAGCAGTGAATTGAGGGATGAGGGGTGGGCAGGGAGAAAAGTGCAACAATGAATGAAAATCCTCAGTCTCTGTAAACTTCCATTAAAATTACTTTTAAAAGGATCCTTTCATTGTTGCACAATTTCCTCCATCCCCCAGCATCCCAGTCCACTTTTCTATGCACCTCTTATTCTGGACTGTTGTCATGCAAATACTACACAATCATATTTCTTTTAGACAGTTCTTTCCCTCATTATTTAAATTCAGGGTCCTTTTTTTATCCCCTCTTTTCTTAGTTTCCCCTCAAGCCCCATGTCAGTCCTGTTTTATATCAGTGGCATTATGCAGTATTTGTCCTTTTGTGACTGAAATATTTCACTCAGGATCAGACCCTTCCAGGGTCACCCATTTTGTATAATATTTTATGAGTTCCTTGTTTTTCAGTGTTGCATGGTATTCCATTGTGTGACTATACCACAGATTCTCTATCCACTCATTTGTTGATGGACACTTAGGTTGCTTCCATATCTTTGCTATTGTGAACAATACAGCTTGATGGATTAAAGTATTTTGTGTTCTGAAATAAAAAGTCAAACCTGCTTCCAAGCTGATTCTAATTTATGGTGACCCTGTATGTGTAGAGTATAATTACTCAAAAGGGTTTTTCCAATTGCTGTAATTGTCTGCAAGATTGTCCACTCTTCTCCTAGCCAAGTACCCCTACTTCAATTAGCACCTCCAAGATTTTTGTTAGTAGTCAATGCTTAACTGTTTGTGCCACCCTAGGATACTGCTTATCTACTGAATTGCCGTAATAGTAAGATCTGGCTGGTTTTAGCTGAAATTTTTACGAAAAATTCCATAATGTGGAATTGACTTCTCACACGCTTGGGTTTCCACCTTCCAGTGCCAGTTGGGACTTTACCTGGTCTATCACCATGCAGTTTGCATACACTTCATCACCGCCATTTAGCATATCAGAAAGCCGACCTGCAGCAAGGAATGTTGAGGGATGCTTAGATTTTTTGAGCTCTTCAAAGGAACGATCTGAGAAGGAAACAAAAAATTCCAATCATAAATAAAAAGTCAGTTCAACATTACTTTTTCAGTTAGACCATAAGGGAAAAGCCAAGATGGCATTTTAAAAATTGTTTATAAAGTTGCATGTCATATCCGTTACACTGTGAGATCTGCATACAAGTGTTTTCTCTCGCACACTGAAATGTTCTCAGCTCCCCAGAGCCTTCATACAGAATGCACAGTTCTAGAAAACTATTGTGCATGTGGACTAAGGTCAGATAGGCAATAAACACAAGAAGAAAAGATCAAGATAATAACTATTAGGAACTCTGGTGGCCTTGGGGGGCAGGGGCAGAGGGTGGGAGTGGGGTAAATGCTGCACTGCAATCCCAAAGGCACAGAGCTCAAATTTACCAGCTGATCCAAAGAAAACAAGAGGAAAAATCTCCTCCCATACGTTTTACTGCACCTTGAAAACCCAGGAGGGTCAGTTATGAGTCAGTTCTGACTCAGCAGCACATAACAACATCAGCTATTAGAAAGAAACAAAACAAAACAAGACACCTTCTCACATCAGCACCAACATCCCAGTTTACTTTGGCAATAAAGTGGAAATGCTGGTGAGGGTATGGAGAGATGGGAACTTCCTTTATTTCCTGGAAGGAAGGTAAAATGGTGCCACCGCCAAGGAGAGCATTTGGTTTTTACTTAAAGAGTTGGGAAAAGGATCATTGTTATTATAATTTGAGGGAAAGTTTACAAATCATATTGGTTTTACATTAATTCATACACCTTTTATTTGAATTAATGCAAATAACTAATTACAATGTCTGATTATCCCTTTATTGCATTTTGCCTTTCTATTCACATGTCTTAATATATGCCTATTATCTCTTTATTTTATAGATAGAACAAACTATTCATTATTAGATGGAGATTTATTAAACTAGATTTTTGCCTTCAATTCCTAACAGATTAAATGAAATTAACTTTATTTATATTTTTAATACACTAGGGGCTGTATCAAGGAACTCTAGTGACATGCTTTATAGGGAATTGTGCTGTTAACTCAAAGGCTGATCTTCTCTGACAGTTCAAATCCACCAGCAGCTCTGTGAGAGGAAGATGAGTAGTCTCCTCCTATGCTGTTTACAGGATCCAGAAATCCACTGGAAGGTCAGCTATAAGTTGACTGTACCTCAAAGGCAGTGAGGTGGAGTTCAAGTGAGTAACTGTATCACAAATGTGTCACAGGCTCACTGGTGTTTAACCAAAGGGCCTAAATTAGTACTAAGTTTAGTGGCTACAACTGTCATTGTCGTTACGTGCCTTCACATTGGAACTGACTCATAACTGGCCCTCTGGTGGCTGTTCAGAGACTGTAAATTGCACAGGAGGAGATTGCTCATCGTTCTCACTCAGAGCAGGTGGTAGATTCGAACCACATGCCTTTTGATGGTAGTGCATCTCACTGCCACTAGACCATCAGTGCTTCCAGTACAGTTATAACAGTTGTTGTTGTTAAGTGCTGTTGAGTCACAGACGACTCAGAGCGACCCTTTGAACAAAGGACCTGAACACTTGTATAACTTTCATTGTTTCACCAAGTTCATAGAGTTTCCAAAGGCAAACTATTTCAGAAGTGGATGCCACTCCTGCTTCCAAGCTTCTTTTAATCGGAGTGCTCCACCAAGCACTGTCCACTGACTGCTAAATAAGAATTATCTCAAGCACTTGGAAAGTTTTGCTTTTAATTTAAATTATAAATCCTATTTGCCTGTTCCTGTATTCCCAGCTTTGTCCAAGCAGATGAGGCTGCTCGAAGCTTGCTCTCAAGAGACCCTCGCATACCTAGAAGGTAAGAAAAAGTTGCAAGCAATGAAATATGGAACCAGAATTTTAACTTCCTGTGACTTCGGATGAATAATCAGATCTCTGTCCACATTCACAGACAGACATCTCACATCCATAAAAACAAGTTATGATTATGCTTTCCACATGCAGATAGGAGAATTAAGTGAGTTTATCATTCAAAGAATTTGATATCTCTGGCACTTTGGGAGGTTATCAGTAAGTCTTAGTTATTGCTTTTATTTGTATTACTGTATTTGTTATTCATATTTCTTAGTTATGTTCCATGTAAAGTACAAAAGTTTTGATATTGTGCTAACCATAGTGTACTATGCAGTAATAGGTCACAAATATCTGTAAATTATTTTAAAAAGGGGTTCTGCTTGCTGAGTGGTAATGAACTGCACTGCCAGTCCAGAGGCTCATGGTTCAAATCCACCAGCTGCTCCACAGGAGAAGGATGAGTAGCCTTCTCTCATATGATTTACAGCTCTGAAAACCCACTGTAGGGTCACCTATGAGTTGGTTCCAACTCAATGGTGCATAATAACAACAACAAATGGTTAAAAAGAATAAATTCAAAAGTATACCCATAACTAATGTCATTGCCCATTATATTTTAGTAGGCTGAGTGAAAAAGTTAGTATTACCTTTATTTCATGAGAAATTGCACTTAATCTACAACCTGTCTAGGTTAGACTATTGCATAAAATCTGGGTAAACTCATGAGAGTTAATTAGTATATGAGAAAAGATTAGTAACTATTGAGCTGATATGCCAGGAAAGAACTCAATTCTGTTCATAGAAATCCTGGATCATTATAAACATTACAAAGAGGTATGAATTTTACTAGTCAAATGGCCTTGGCTTCAGATTCTGCATCTAAATCTGCCTTTGCCTATTAAAGAGATTTTATGAAGCACCTCAAAGAAATAAGACATGTAGAGGGATAACCAAAGTATTAAATAACTACAACTTGAACATTCAAACCACACAAATACTTCACAGTTACAAGCTTCATAATCAATCACTGTGCATTTCCATTCTAATTACATGAAAGAAAAATAGGTACGATTGGTTATAAATCAAGAACCTACCCAAATACTTCCAACATATCCTGAAGTAAGCAAATACTTGCTTGCTCATTTGTCATTTTACAGGATGGTTTTTTAAACAATCATGGTCTCACAAGATGTAATCAATCCAGCTTAACTCTGCTCTGCTGTCTTAAGATCACAGACTATAACACACTTGGTGTAACTGGCGTAGCCCTTAGAAAACGGTCCATCCTCCTTTTTAATGACTCTGCCATCAATGCTACAATAAGACTTTGTTGATAATAAGACTTACCTTAGAACTAACAAGATATTTGAGACAATAGCAAATAATTAATGGCTTTCCTTTTAAGAACAGAACCAAGTAAAATATGACCCATAAGCACGTGGTGGGAGTGCACAGGCTGTTTGTTGGTCACCTGACTGGCAAGGTGTGAATGATCAAAAGACAGTCATTCTGTGTTCAGCATACCAACCACTGGCTTCAGGAAAGGGCAAGAACTGCAGCTACTTCTGTTTTAATTTACACAAGTAAAAGTACTTGGATTCAACTTTCCTTCTGCAGATAAAATCCACCTGATAGTATGTGTCAGGTTAGAGATGATGTCGTTGTCAGATACCCTCAAGTCAGTGCTGACTCAGCACATAAAAGACTACACATAACAAGAGCTAGCAGATAACATGACTGCACATAGCATGAGTCTACATGACAGGCACAATAGAACTAGCATAAAACATGGCTATACTTAACGCAACAAAACATTGCCCTGTCTTGAAACCTGTACTGTGAAATTCTGGACAAATTCAATACTTTCCCGTTTATCATGGTGCTACTTACTGGATCAATCCTTACACCTGGATCATTCTACATGGATAATTCTACACGGGAGCAGAATAAAGTAAAAGATGGCAGTGTCTTGATACTTTGATCAAGCTATAGTCATGTTCTCTGCATGGTTAATTTGATCAATGTTGCAGGATATTATTTTCATTTTTCCCCAAATATAGGCACACAGTCCCTTATCTGTAATTCTAAGATCTAGAGAGCTCTAATTTCTAAATGCTGTTCTTTACCAAAATTCCTTAGAGCAATGATTGACTTCAGAACTGTTATGGTGGTGGTTGTTGTTCTTTGCTGTCATGATCAAACAAACTCATAGCTGACCTTTCTGCGAGTTTTCAGAGGCAGTAAATCACAAGAGAGGAGATTGCCCACCCTTTCCAATAGCATCTGGTGGATTCCAACCACATTCCTTTGGGATTGCTGTGCAGTTTCTCACCACAAGGCCACTAGAGCGCTCTACAGCCTTAATATCTTTCAATGACACTCTCAAAAAGTGATAGGAGACATAGCAAAAGAACACTGACAATAGTTTGAAGGTCCTATAGATCAAGTCTGATTACTCTGAACACCAAAATCAAGAATTCTAACTTCTTGTTGTTGTTATTAGGTGCTATTGAGTCAAGTACGACTCAGCGACCCTATGAATCAATGATCTGAAACCAGTCCTGTCCTGTGTCACCTCACACTTCCTGACACACAAGAGCCCATTCTTGTCAATTCACTTGTTTGAGGATCTTCCTCTTATTTGCCAACCCTCCAGCCCTTCCCATCATCATGTCCCTCTCCAAGGAATAGTGCTTCCTAGCAATATGTCCAAAGCATGTGAAGTGAAGCTTCATCATTCTTGCCTGTGGGAAGCCAAATAAATTCTTAGTGTCCCCACCTTTTCTATATCTCTGGTTTACAACACTTGCCTCCAAAGAGAATCCTGGCTGCACCCTCTCCAAGACATATCTATTCACTTTCTTGGACATCCATGGGATGTTCAGTGCTCTTCTCCAACACCACTACTCAAAAGCATAAATTCTTTCTCTGTCATCCTTATTCATTGTCCAGAAGCATAGCTAGTAATTGGAAAGACCATGGCCTGAATCAGACACACCATAGTCCTCAAACTGACATCACTATTTCTCAATAATTTGGAAAGACCCCTAACTGCAGATTTTACCAGTGCAATGTCTCCTTATTTCCTGACTACTTATACCAAGGGTGTTAATTGTAGATCCAAGCAAGATAAAGCAGTTGACAGTTTCAATCTCCTCTCCATCCATCATGGT